TTCAACATATGACTGCAAAGCTATTTCTACATCAACTTTTTCTTCCAACCACAAATCTATAAAGAATTTAGAAAATTAGATGTTATCTAAGACAATAAAACAAAAAGAATAGACTGTTCTTCTGCTCCTTACATCCTCCTTTTCATTTGTGCCAATTAAATATGCCGTCAACCCTGATTAAACTCCACAGGCATTACATAACCCAAAACACAGCGTGCAACATATCAGCTGGTACCTTATTTATAAGATGGTTGGATAAATGTTTTAGTGGCACAGAACTGATTTCTCACTCACTAAGGAACAGATGCATGGCTTCAACTGTCACTGTTCCTTTCAAATCAACAGGCAACGCTCTCTTTTTTGGTTGTTCAAACAAACAAGTGGCTCGAAAGGTCCATGCAAGTGTTTAGATAAACATCAGAATGTTCCACTCCTTTATCGCCAGCAAATTCTGGCTGCATCCTCATTTCCCTCAGCAGTCGAAGAGCATGGTTACGTAAGAGCTTTGGCCACTAGTAATAATCTCTATAAACAGAAATTCCAACAGAGACTTCTGCTGGCAAGGCGATGAGGCAAGAGCTTTCCCCGTCTAATCATAATGGAGTTTATTGACCCCGTACATATACAGTATGCACTTAAAAGGAATTCTATGAGTTGCTTCCAAGGTTACCATACAAAATAAATACTAAAGTTATAGAATATGACAGAATAGGATGTAGAAAAAGCTCTGAATCTAATCGGAAAAGAATGCTCCAGCACCGATCTATTAATTGCTTGCATACCCAAAGACTTGGAATCTGTTTTCTAAGTATTAGCATCCTGGCAGAGCGCTTTACTGGCCCTAGGGGGGCAATATTTTTTCTAGAGAGTATGTAAATTAATGTAGCATGAAGTCAGTTTCACGAGCCTGTGGTGGGGTATTAAATTTTCATCACACTTGTGCTCGAATTGAGCAACTACAAAAAAGGAAAAGAGTAAAAGTCAGCTTGTAACAAAATTGACACTATTCCTGATCTATTTTGATTTATTCATCAATTCCCAAAATTATTTATCCGGGTAATGATTTTGTAAACAACGATAACTCTTATCGTTGTTCTGGTCAAGTTTTCAGGCAATATCTAATCATGTGCATTCGAGAAGCAACTTATCCCCTGTTCATGTTTCCTATCGAGATTTTTTAATGGAATTTAGGTGTATGTGCTTGGAAACAAACCAACCTGCTACAAGTGAAATTATGACATGAACTGTGTAATGAAGCAAAAAAAATACAGGAGAATTAGACAAAAAGACAAAGGTGTGAGAAGACAAACTGCATACTTGAGGAAAAGAACTAAAATCCCATTTTATAGCACTATTTAATAGTTGTCTGGGGAGTCTAACAGTATTCCGGTACCAAAAATGAAATAATCACAATAGAAAAAAAATGTTTTTCTTGCTGTTTGTCTTGTTTTCAGTCCAAATATCAAAAAAAAAAATTCTTAAAGCAGTTTTTTCTTAAAACAAGCTAAGTTATCTGCCAGTGGGGTAAGTGAAATAATCTGGTTTTCGTTTTAAATGCAGATATTGCAATAGCTACAAGACAACAATTAAATAAGATTCTTTCTTTGCATAAATCACATAAATTCCATATAAAACAATGATTAAATATAATTCAAAAGTTCACACTAGAGTACAGCTTATTTGGCATGCTGTCCTGGGAGAGAGCCCAGAGCTCATAAAAACCTCGAGCCCGGGGCTCCCTCCCGGTTGCAAGTCGAGAGAGAGAGTTTAAGCTCAGGTAGATTTCAAGAACTTCCCTCCTCTAGTAGCTAATGAACAGATAGTGATTGCTCTTAAGAGGTAACTAATTCTAGTAGGATTAGTCAATTAACTTAAGTTGCATGTTTTTGGACAGTGGGAAAAAACCGGGGAACCCGGTGAAAACCCACGTGAGCACAGGGAAAATGTGTAAACTCTGCACAAAAACATCGACTGGCTTGGTAAGGACCAGAACCAGTGACGTTCTTGCTGTAAGGTAGCAGTGGTAACCACTGGGCCACTATGCCACCCATCTAGAAAAGGAGGAGGAGTAGGGTTGAAAGGGGGGATTCTCAAAATGAAGATGACTGCGATATGAAACTTAGGGTATTTTTAGTGATTTTAGGAGCATCATAATAAAAACCTTAATACATATAAGAAAAAGTAATACTTCTCTAATTTAATCTAATTAGATCCACTATATTTGGTAAACAATGCAAGTCTCTCATATAATATATCTACTAAAAGGCAGAAAATACTACTTTACAAACTGTATTGTAAATAAATCATTTGAATATTTTTAGATTATTCAATAATATTACTAATAAACTGAACAAATATAAATTTAAACACATTTACACAAGTAAATAAACAGGATCAAGGATGGGCTAAAAATCTGCGGAAATCTGCAGATTTTTAGCATGTGATATGGATTTTAGATTTTTTTATTTCGTGTGGGCCTAGTCATGACTAATCTGTTGTGCTGGTTGAGCCAAAACCAGATTCTCCTCTCAGGTGGACAATATAGTTATTGCAAATAAAGCATACACCATACAATCTTTTAATTCCATACAAGCTTACGAAACATATGTCATTAAAAGGTTATCATATTTTATTATTATTATTTATATTTTTTAAAGAGACACTTAATGAGAAGATTTTTACTTCCAATACCCAACTATTGGGCTCTACAGGTGTTTGTGAGATCAGAAACTACATGCTAGGATGAAATAGTTCACAATGCAAAATTCGCTCATGTTCAAGTTGGCCTGCAAGTTCCCCAAGCTGTCCAACAAAAAAATCTGCTAGGTATGCGTGTTATTCTTTATATATCTCTAAACTGCTGACAGTAGACAAAGGACCTTTTTGTGGATAAAGCATGTAAAATTTTGATAATGCGAGTGCACCTTTAGGCTGTTTCAAACGGCAACTTATCACAATCTTGAAAACATAGTTAACGTCAAATAGTTAACGGCAGTTCATGCTGACATTAAAAACACTGCACTACTCTGTTCAAGAGCAATTCCAGTGTTATTGATGTGACATTTGTAGTAAAAATTCAAAACATACATTCACAGAGAAAGCATAATGTTAATGTTATATTTTGATATATGTTTATATTTCCCAAAACAATTAACCACAAAGCTATGCGATCAGAAAAATATCAGTCTGTAAACATTTTTATATTTTAAATGTGGAAAATAAACATGCGTTATGGATGCGACCAAAAAAGTTAGCGAGTTTACAGTCTACAACATACTTTGTAGAAATTCTGTGAATAAAACTGCACAAACCAAAAGTGAAGCTAATCAAAAGGATAAGAGTTGGCTCTCTATAGAACAAAAATGACTGATTTCATTTTACTTTACATGTTTGCATTTATGAGGAAAAAGCTTTGTTATAGATGTGACACCTCTGTTATGGATGTGACGAATGTGAAATTGTGTCATTTATTCATTCATTTTCTTGTCAGCTTAGTCCCTTTATTAATCCGGGGTCGCCACAGCGGAATGAACCTCCAACTTATCCAGCAAGTTTTTATGCAGTGGATGCCCTTCCAGCCACAACCCATCTCTGGGAAACATCCACACACACATTCACACACACTATGGACAATTTAGCCTACCCAATTCACCTGTACCGCATGTGGGGGAAACCGGAGCATCCAAAGGATCCCATGCGAACACACGGAGAACATGCAAACTCCACACAGAAACGTCAACTGAGCCGAGGCTCGAACCAGCGACCCAGCGATCTTCTTGCTGTGAGGCGACAGCACTACCTACTGCGCCACTGCTTAGCTCCTGGCACTTGTGCGACTTTGGTTAATTAAATATAAATGTTACAAAACATTTACAGACATTTTGAGCATTTGAGCACACAAAAAAATGTAGAAATTGTTTCACTATTTTGGTGAAAACTTTTTTTTCTCAAGGTATTTTGATTTTTCTTATAACCTGTTGCGCCTTTTCTAAAAGTGTCTGGCATGCATGTCTCAGCTGCTTGGATAAATGAGTCCACAACTGTGCAAGCCACCCAGCCTCTGACCCTAAATGAACATGTTGGCCGTCAATTTACTCACTAGTGTAATCTAAGCTGTTAAAAAGAGATTCACCATGTTCATCAGACTCTGGACTTTGCCCAAATGCTGTGACGATGAAAATGTCACATGTAGTGTGTTGTGTTTCTTGCATGACAAAATAAAACAATTTAGATTCGAGCAGACCTGCGATAGCATTCTGGAGAAGATATGAAACTCATTAAGAACCCCGTCTCACACACTTGGTTAATAAGTGATATGCAAGTCATTATGTATAGTCTTAATAAAATCATTATGCAATGTAAAGGTTCTATGGATGTTAAAAGTTCTACTTTTTATGCCAATAAAGATCTTTATTTATTTTTTTAAAGTGTAAACATATCCTGTAATTTATTAGTTATGTGATAACTTTAAGTGGCTTGAGTCGCATAAAAATGTTGTTTGTCTTTTGCGCAAGACACATGAAAAATATGTTGTTTAGTTGTGAAAGCCCAAAGGGGGGTTCACTGCAGTTGATTTTGTCCCCTGGGAAGAGTTACTTTTTCCAAAACAGTAACTAATAACTACGACTACAACTGAGCTGTGAATAAGAGCTTGACAAATACAATAGATGAGCACTGTAAGCTTAAAATAATTGTCATACTTATTATGATACTAATCAATTATAGAAAATGTAGAATAGATTGTTTTCAGCTGCCAGTTGTCGTTGTTGTCTTAGTTTTCAATTGACAACATTTCTAGTGACAAAATAAGATACGTGTAACTGTTTTTTTACAACATACACGAGATGCATTAATGTTACATAATATACAAGTCATGATTATAGATTCAGCTCAAATGCACTGACTGTACACTTCATGTTCAACACCCAATCTTCAAATATACAAAAAGAATATCTGGTAGAGGGTTTGATGAATATTAATTAAACAATACAGTGTCTTACCCATGTTGTATCCATAGGGTGACTCACTGGACCCATCCTGAAGACTGGCCAGTATTTCCCCTTTCCCCACATCACTGTCTCCAACCAGTAGGAATTTCAGAAGAAAATCATAAGCTTTTGCTGGGCTGCTCCTGTGGTTCATCTTCACATCAGCCCGATGACCCATACTGGTACATCATGTAATTGTCGGACTTGACGGACTTGTGTTATATTTCAGTCCACCAAATGTAACTGAACGATTTAGCTGTTTTAAAAAAACAAACCTACGTGTTGATCACTTGTCTCTCTGTGTGAAAAATCTCATGTCCAGAACATGGCTAAAGCTGTCCTTTTGTTCAAAGATTCGGACTGTGGATCCACTGATACTGTTGCGTCACATCAGAAGGTAAATAAAGAGCCTCATATGTTAACAATATCGTAGCATAAGGCGATTAGCTACTTATAATTGGTTATTTACACTTAAAGTAATGGTAATTATAATACAGAACACCTAATGTTTATCTCATCTTTACAGTTTGAGCAAACCTGGTCCATTGAGCTCTCAGCCACGATCCCTCTCGTCTATCAGCCTCCCTAAACAGAAAAATGTTGAGTTCATCCTTGGATTTTCCTTGATTGGTTCCTGTGAGGAGTTGCTAGGGCAGCTCTGCTCTTTCATTAGACGTAACTTATGTCAATCAAAAAACACATGAACGCCCACTTTGTATTGGAGAGGGTGTGGCTAATCTCCTGTTTTGAGCCCATATGCGCTGTTCCCAGATCAGCCCTGGTAGGACCCCACCTACTTAGGTTTGGTCGCAGTAAACAGCGGCTCAGCTGATTCTGGGTCAGCTCTTTTAGCGAATTTCAAGCGCGTGCTCGGGTTTGTTGTTTTCCGGGGCACGAAGAATGACGTAGTGTTAAAATGACGTAATATTACCATTGTAGTTTCTAGCTTTTCCTTCTAAAATATTTTTGTAAATTTACTTCGTCTATATATTCGTGTTTGTGTGTGAAAAAATATTAGTATTTTATATTATTATTGATAGTATTATTATTATTATATGAATCTCTCTCTCATTATATATATATATATATATATATATATATATATATATATATATATATATATATATATATATATATATATATGTGTGTGTGTGTGTATGTATTTATGTATGTATGCATGCATGTATGTACGTGTATGTAATTATATATATATATATATATATATATATATATATATATATATATATATATATATATTCACACATATACATAGATACATACAGTTGAAGTCAGAATTATTAGCCCCCTTTTGATTTTTATTTTCTTTTTTAAATATTTCTCAAATTATTTTTAACAGAGCAATGACATTTTCAAAGTATGTCTGATAATAGTTTTTCTTCTGGAGAAAGTCTTATTTGTTTTGTTTCAGCTAGAATAAAAGCAGTTATTAATAAAAAATTTTTTGCCATTTTTGGGGCAAAATTATTAGCCCCTTTAAGCTAATTTGTTTTCCGATAATCTACAGAACAAACCATCGTTATACAATAACTTGACTAATTACCCTAACCTGCCTAGTTCACCTTATTAACCTAGTTAAGCCTTTTAATGTCACTTTAAGCTGTATAGCAGTGTCTTGAAAAATATCTAGTCAAATATTATTTACTTATTTATTTATTTAAATATTATTTACTGTCATCATGGAAACGATAAAATAAATCAGTTATTAGAAATAAGTTTTTAAAACTATTATGCTTAGAAATGTGCTGAAACAATCTTCCCAGAACAGAACAGAAATTGGGGGAAAAAATAAACAGGGGCGCTAATAATTCTGACTTCAATACATACACGCACGCACGCACGCACAAATCTCTCTCTATTTCTCTCTATGGATGGATGGATGGATGGATAGAACCACAATTATGACTTTCATTATGAACTTTCACTAACAATGCCACATTACATAATGCTTTAAAGATCTCTCTCTCTCTCTCTCTACACACCACACACAGAGAACATTAGAATTGACAAACAAATTAGATTTTGAAATTAATTTAACATTACAGTGTCTCAAAGAATCATACAAAAAAATCTAATATTAGAATTAAACAAGCATTATGCAACTTCATAACACAACTATATAAATATTAATGAAATTTCATGTCTTCAGGATGTCATTTAGTAGGATTTGATTGCTACTCCGACAATTCTTGGTCTCTTTACCTTAATATCACTTCACATATTTTGTAACTTGTTGGCCTTGATTAGATACGATCTAAACTGAAGCAACATGTCTGAACATGATTTTGTTCAATGAAGCGCCACTGAGTAGTTACACGTTATATAAAACTTCTACAGCTGTATGATATCAAAAAGCACATATTAACCTTGTCCTGTTATATCAACTAAAAATGAATATAAACATTACAAAAGATTATGCTTTTATTCCAGTCCAATTATTCACTTGTAAATGCCTTTCAATGCAGTGTGTGCAGATGCTGCCCTCTAGTGTTACATCAGAGTAAGCCAAACAAGTAGCACTTTACTAGAAAGTAATTTGCATGCATCTACAGTTGAGTTGTTGGATGGTTGATACTAAACTGCTGTTTTGTATTTCATGGTGTATAAATATAACCAATATTTTATAGTTTTAACCACAAAATTCACAGACATGATCAGCAGCTTCATAATGGCCTTGATTTTGCTTCCATTTTGGTACAATCATTTAAAGACATTGAAGTGACATGTGACAATGTAAGCAATAATCATTTCTAAATGTGTTACATAACACACTCTCGTGAAATAAATTGTAATTAAAAGTCTCTGAATAAAAAGCATAATTAACTATACCCTGGGAGGGGTAAATGTTGTCCCTCTTTGGCTTCAAAAAAGGTATAAGAGAGTGTAATAGTATCAACTCGCGCCATCCGGGGGTCTTCATCAAACTCTGGGTCGATGTAGAAGAACACAGGCATGTCCACCTCCTCGTGTGGGTTTAACCTCTGTTCCTCGAAACAAAAACACTGAAGGAGAAAAGATGCTTTGTATTAGAATTTAATACTACTTAATGAGCTCAGATGGTAGCAAGTGGAGAACATTTTTAGTCATTATAGAAATGTCAGTATGGATTTATTTAATGCATCACATGTACCTGTATCTTATTAAAATATTGTCCAGCCTCAAAAGGTACAACATTGTAAGTAGAAATGCCTATCACTGGCTTGTCGGTGGGATTCCGTGCCCTATAAAAAGCCAGTGCAGTCTCCCCTGGTACAACCTGAGAACATGTCCAAACAAAGCGTGATGCTTATGTAAAGCTGTATAAGAGCACATTTTTGACACCACACAGTCAACGTTTTACATTACAAATTTATAATATTAAAGGATTTAGTATTGACAGAAAAATAATGTATACTGAATATAACTTTATTGAACTGTAATGTTTGCAGGTCTTTGCGTTAATAATAATTATTATGTATTTTTATAACTCGCCTTTAAAACTTAATTCTCAAGATACTTTACACAAAAAAGGCAAAGATATAAACACAGGTTGGAGCAACAGTAAAATTGAAACATTCAAAATAAAACATTTAATTATCTATAACCATAAAACAAACCAAGAATAACCACCTCACAAATAGGTGAGTGTAAATTAGTGTGTTTTCAAGAATGATTTAAACAATCTAAAAGATTCAGCATGTCAAATGTTTAGGGGAGAGAGTTCCAGAGCCTCAGAGCCAGGGAAGAGAAAGCCCGGTCACCCATCGAGCGCAGACGAGAGGAAGGGACTGTTAAAAGGACATTTCTTAATGCCTTTAAGATCCTTTAACAGGTATCCAGTATACAAATATAATAAATGCATGTTTTTTAACTCATGTAAATTAGCGTTTAATAAATAATGTTTATAAAATTGTTTATAAAATAATATCAAAATTTAGATGCCAGTGAAATTATTAAAACTTTAACTTTTCCAAATCTTATTAAAGAGAACATGTTTAATACTGCAAATTAGGAATAAATAAACAATTAGCAAACAAGATAATGATATGAGTGACGTATTTAACAAAGATATGAATGAATAACTAAACATTGCTTTCTTTTTTTGGTTTCAATAACAATGGTGAAACTATAATCAAATTTTAAAATATTTGAGCATAAACATTTAGGCTCGGTTTCACAGACAGGGCTTAGACAATTGCCAGGATTAGGCCATAGTTCAATTAGGACATTTCAGTAATTTTTAAAAACATGCTTAGAAAAAAACATTACTGGTGTGCATCTTAAGACAAAACAAAGGCACTGATAAATTTAAAAATCAATCAGTGCAATTTTATTTCAGTTAAAACGCTGAGACTTACATTTTAATCAAGGACTAGGCTCAAGCCTTGACTGTGAAACCAGGGTTAGTGTGTTAAAACTCTATTTTCTATGTATTGTATTGCATTATATTATATTATAGAGAGTTAGCTAAGAATAATCATAAGCACATGATCCTCTCAAAATTAGTTTATAAATAAACTTTACTTTGAGAGATGAGCTGATGATTTTGAGCAAGAAAACGTTTCGCTATTTGAACGCACTATTTTGAGAAATGCACTTGCTATTTTGCAAATTTACATTCTGATCTGAGAAATGTACCAAAGTGACTGAGAAAAACTCTAAACAGTTTTTTTTCATATTTCAGATGTAATGGAAAGTAACTCAATTGTAATTTAAGATATATTATCAAAGCTTTTGTATTACACTGAATCAAGATCCCACAAAAATGGATCACAAAAGAATAGCTATAATCTTACATAAATCTCTGACTGCTGTGGACGAAAGTTCCACTGTATGCTGGCGTGCGTGTCTGCGTTGAATGTCACTTTAATGATACGATCCCTGACAGGCTTCATAGTTGCCACTTGCTCAGTGTCGTGTCCTGCTACTGCTGCGCCGCCCAACCCTGTAGCCTGAAGAGAGAAACATATTATTGCAATACTACGATTCCACCACAAAAAATGTCCTTGAGATTGCCAGTGTCATACCGACCTGACAGTACAGTCTGTAGAGCGGAACAGCAGCATATGACATCCCAATCATTCCCACTCCAGCAGCTGCAATATATGTAAGGATAGTCTTGTTTTTTTTCTTCCAGTCATCTGCCTGGCTCTGATGTTTCCTCTTGTGAGTTTTGGCTCCTCGTGACTGGTTGAGGAGTCGCTGTGTGGTCCTCCTGAGAAACTGCTGGCTGCTGGATGTGGCTAGTCTTCTGATGGTGCAACAATCAATACACAATCGGGTGCTAGAAAGTGCTTGTATATAGTGCTTTGCAGTGCACCCACGAAGAAGGAACGATGACAGCATAATCCTAGAGTGCAAGTGAAATCCTCTTCAAAACAGGTGCGTTTCACCTAAAACCAACAATATGGATTATATTACACAGACTGTGTGATCAGTTCATAACCAGAGTAAAGAAGGTCTAGTAAATTATCCTTAATAAAAATAAGAAGTGGCACACTTGCAGAATGTCCAAATAAAAATAAATAAATGTCCAAATTATTGAAAAGACGGGGATCAGTTTTAAGATTTAATGTATTAATTGGCAATAATTTTTAAAGA